CACCGTTTAGCAAATTGGAAGGTAGGGGATCTATTGGGAAAAGGTGTAGAGTCCTCGGAGTTAGGACCGAGACGAAATGTTTAGTAAATTGAAGTTGTGTTACTCTATTTCTTCGACTATCTGTGTGGCTGGCGGTCGTCTTGGAATTGTTCTTGATCTTGCATGCATATCCTAAGCTTAACCACTTCACTTTCACGTTATAAACAAGCATTTTTAGCCCTAAATGATGCTTTCTTTTACCCAATGGGAAGTCTCGGGTCGTTACGGAAGACTTTTGAGAAAAGGCTACGTTTCAAAAAGAACCGAACACTTCACAGTAATTTTCTGAAAATCAAAAACGGTACTCATTCAGTGGACGCAATTGTTGGGTGTCAGCAGAAACAATATTACGAGATATGGAGACGAATATAATATATGTCAGTGTTTAAGTGGGCCAATATAAGCGAGAGGCGGGAATCAAAAAAGATCCTGAACGCAAATCAGGTGAGCGGGAACCATGAGGAGTCTCTCTCCGGTTGCTATCGTCTATCTGGCCCGTCTCTATTCCAATCCCCATTATTCCTGCATCTAATGCCAAATAAATGGTCTGCAACTGACCCTCTCTAGAAGTTCGTGGTTCAAGAGCATGAGGTTAGACAGGCAGTCCCTACAACTAGCAATTATGTTTCCACCGTTGGGATATGCGTAAAGAGTTAAGAAAGCACTGTGGTACATGGCGTTCAGCGGTCACTTTAAGATTTAACTGGTGTTGTACGTGTGAGTCGACCTTCGAACCATGCTCAGGCCCATTTTTCCCGCCGTCTTCAGAATACGTGTATTCGACTGCAATTACTAACTTCTTATACCGGCCAGAAGGTCTTGGAATGCTATAAGCAAATATATGATTAAGTAGGGGTGGATCACACAAGTAGTACAAACAGTGCAATCATGGTGGAATAGAATTTATCGCTTTTCATAGTCCTTACCAAATTTGCCTCATTTGTATGGTAGAAACGCAGATAACAAAAATAAATCTCCTTGTGGTTTAAAAGATGTAAAAGTAAGCTATTTGAGGCAAGTGTAGATGATTTCTGGCCGCAACAACTAGTCGCACATTGATAAAAAAATGATTCTAGCATTTTTTGTCTAAAGACTTGGGCATTAGAATAAACATTTATTGCCGCGCATTTGAATTACATGATCCGCCTGCGCTGATTGACCTATTTCGTGCGTTGAGGCTTTCGGAGACTGGCCTTCTGATTGCCATTTATCCACATTTCTGGTGTCGAAATGCAGGTGGATGAAACGTTAGACTGCTCAACGGTGGGTAGTAGCTCCATACCTCTGTGTCCTTATTGTTTTACCTCCTTACTTCGTTGCCTCTTGCTTCGCCTCCGATTGTTATTCAAAAGCTTCGTTTTTGCATCGAAACATCATTGCAGCTATGAACTTTCTGTTTTTTTCCGAGTGTTAGAATGCATTTCTGTTTCAGGTGTTGCTAAAACCAATGGTTTAACATTATGATAGATGTTCTACCTGCTATATTTGGACCTTAAAATGACTATTCTTTACTTTAGCCCATGGGAACCTTAACACCTACATCAGCATCAATGGCGGTAGATCCTTTATCCTTTGTACAGTTTCAATCCGCTTCCATGTCCCAAATTCCCTGCAACACGCCACAGTTTTCGAACGCCTCCGCAGCTACCTCCCTCGTCCCTGGGGCTGGCACTCCATGTGCGGGTTTGAGTCAGGACCACTTTGCTACCCATGCTCCCGTTTCCATGCCCCACCTAACTGGTGGAATGCCCGGCTCTACCGACCTACTTGGTCAGCAGCAGGCCCTTGCCATCAACCCCACCTCTCTCATGCAATACTTCCGAATTCGCACCCTGCCTCTTACCAGAAAAGTCATCCGCGAAGGCTGGCTCATGAAGAGAGGTGAGCACATCAAAACATGGCGCCGGCGATACTTTATTCTCAGAGAGGATGGTACTTTCTATGGATATAAAAGTATTCCAAGGGTAAGTTACATGTAGGCATCATTGAGGTTGTTCCTTAATTGTGCAATACCTGTAAAATTCATTTGGTTTATACGATACTTATTTGTCCTCATTAGTCATTGTTACTGCCGCCCATTCGGATATCCCTGAATGCCTGTAAAAGCACAGTAGAATTGAGCCGCGTGGTCAACTTCACTTTGTAATGACTTTTTGAGGAAGAGTTGCTATTTGCAGCCTTGGAGACATCAAAAGGATGCTTTGTTTGGGCGGAGTATGAGTTCCATTTTGGCATCTATTTTACTACTGGTGCTTTCTGTTTGGCATTCTGTCAAACACCTGGTCGTTTCTTTGATTATGCTATTTTTATTCAGGCAAAGTTGGCTTTCGCATGTAGGTTGCAATTGAGGGTTTCTTCTCAACTGCTTTCTCGAAAGCCTCAGTTTAATCTTAGAGCTTTCTGAAAATTATTTTTTAGGACAACCTGGAGCAACCACTAAATAATTTTACCGTTCGAGACTGTCAGATAATATGCTTGAATAAGCCCAAGCCCTACACAATTTTAATGCGAGGACTTCAATGGACGACAGTGGTGGAACGACTGTTTTTCGTTGAGCACGAAGCCGAACGAGATGAGTGGATCAGTGCCATCCAAATGGTTGCTAATCGACTTCGCTCGGAAAACGAGGCGCCTACCAGTGTTTTCAAGGTTGATTTCGCTGACGACGTCGTCATTGACTTTCCTCAGAGGTGGGCCACTTTGTAGAAGCCACTTTTGTGTCTGGTTATTCATTCCCTCATCTCTGGTCAGAGTTGTGCATGTCCTAAGTATTCGTATGTAGATTTCGATAAATTGATCAAACTGTTTTGGACCTTTGTATCATCATTTGCTACCGTAATAGTATCAAATCTTAATTTTTAGGCCACCTAAGCGCTACTCAACAGACGACTTTGAGCTCCTAAAGGTGCTTGGCAAAGGAACTTTCGGCAAAGTTGTTCTTTGCAAGGAAAAGGAATCCGGCTGCTTCTACGCTATGAAAATCCTTAAGAAAACGGTTCTAATTGAGGTGATTTTTCTTGTATTATATACTTTGTATCAAATATCACCGAATTCTCCTTTTCGTAACTATCTATTAAGTGTGTAACTTAATAGGCTGAGTTCATCCTTATGATTTGGCTCTCTCCTGTTCACCGGAATAAGAAACGTCAAGTGATTTTGTACTTTTTAAAATCTCACAACACATATTACAACTTACCTATCAAATTTATTCTCCATTAAGCTAACTGAATCCCTTGATTCAGCAGGTGCTAATTATGAGCAGTTTTGTTTTTTAACTTGCATAACCTCGTTTTACGTTAATTTGATGCTTTCCCCTATGACATCTTCTCTTCAACCCATCTTCATCTTCATTTTCACTACTTTGGCATTTGATGTCAACGTTGCGGGCTTCCTGATACCTAATCTGTAGTCCTAGTGTTCGTTTGCCCTGCGTCTAGGCTCCTTGAAACACAGTTTGGGCTGGGTGGGATCGGGTGCATATGTAATTTCCGGTACAGCCGTCCGCTATCACCTCGAAATCTTCAATTCGTCGGCGCACACAAGCCTCGATCACATGTAGCTAAATTGGCACATGATTTACGTGGGCGGATTGTGTTGTTTCAATGTGCCTCTCCCCTGCGTAGCTGCCGTTTTGGCTTCTAGTCCAAATGGGCCCACAAGTATCAACCTTCTTGAAAAGGCTGAAATGTTTGCAAGGTTGTGAAAATCAGGTCTTCTTGTTCATTTTTGGGCCAATTTTCTTTTGGAACTCCGCGTTCTCTCGAATGATAGATCCGAAGTGAGAGTAAATCACATTCGAGTTGGTGCAACGAATAGCTTAGTTTCTATCGGGGTTAATGTTCAAATCGGGCTCTACCAGTCAATTTCTGTCGTGACCTTATGCGCAAGCATGTCCTCGAGGTCTCGCATGTCTACATCGTCGAAATCACTTTCAACTCAGCACAACTACAAAATCAAGGAAAAACTACCTATCATCTCACTTCCGTTATTTTCACAATGGTCCCATCGACTTTATTGTTTAACATCTAAACGCATAGTAAGGTTTGCCTTCTTTAACCTTTTAAACCCAATTACTCTTCATATATCTGCTCTGTCTTTCTACATTTACCTGTGATCGGTTTAATGTCTGATTGAATTTGACTAGTGCTTTTTA